ACAGCTTGTTACTATCCCCTTATAAGCTTGTGCCAAAAAACCTCCAATCCCACTCACATTTCCACATCCCCCCACAAATTCCTCACCCTCCTCCCCTGTCCCTCAACTAATGTCTTCCATGTTCCCTAACCTCACCAGCACTCAGCACTGTATGCTCCCTCCCATGCTTTCTCCCACTTACCTTCAGGACAAGAGACCCAACCTGCTGTGGCTGGCTCAAGCAGCAAGCACTGATGCGCTACCCAGTATGCACACGCCAATTTGTTAGTTAAGCAAAATAGAAGGCAACTGTTAAACTCATCTTGCACCTTCTTCCCCTGCAAAGAAAAGGTACGCACTTATTTTGATTTCCTCTCTTCTACCCAGAGACTCATCTTTGTGGAACTTTAAAGAGTTCTTAAAGAAACTTTGAGACGTCTATGCCACTGCCAAATTTGGCTGAAATCTACTAAAGTTGTGAAAATAGAATTGATAGAGTGATTACACAAGCTTTCTTTCCTCTGGAAAGTGGGCTAAAAGCCCATTAACAGTCTTACTTATGTCATCCCTTCATTCCCATTCTTCATTTAAAAATAACGATTCTATTCTACTGCATTAGCTTATGTAACCCACCCCTGAGCCAAACTAGTTGAAAATGTTGGTCTGTGTTTATTAAGTGTGTGTGCCTCTCTATGTTTGCCCATTTTAAGGTGCTTGGTATTATGAAAAATAATGGTGAGATCATCAGTGAAACCAAATAAGCTTCACTAACAGCTATCCCCCAAAGTTTCTGGACTGGTATCACTGCAAGCAAGAACTGAACTGCTTTTTCTCTAGCAAGCTGTCAGCTGTTCTCATGGTTACAGATCTAGGAATTTGGAATGACAGGTCACAGCTATGAGAACGAGTAGATTTATTTGGCATGTTTCTATCTAGTAAATAACATTCTCCTATGCAGAGGACAAGAGGCTGCTGTACATTCTCATAGTGTTTATTCTCTGTGAAAACCATGTTTTAAAGTCTCTGTCCCAACAAAGAAGGTGCTAACCAGACTTATTTCTTAAAATTGCTCACTCACAGAATGAAGACAAAAATATAGAACTCTTGCACTCTCTCTATTACTATAAATGGACCACTGGCACTTTCACTGCAAGATTCAACTGTGTATATACACTTCCCAGATGGCGTGAAGCAAGGGTAGAAAAGCATGCTTCCCATTTAAATGCAAAGGAAGACAAGGGAGTGTTAACTGCTGTCATAGGGTAAAATCTATTCTGTCATTTGGCTATTAAAAAATTAAAAAAAAATAAAAAAATCAACCATTTATTTTTGATTAACTGCCAAGTTTTTGTGAAGCTCCAGCTATGGCGCTATGCAGAGATATTAGCACAGCTATGTGAAATTGGTTTTCGCAGAGCCACAAGTTCAGCTTAACAGGACAGCAGCAGAACAGGCTTCTCCCACACTTGCAACTCTTCCTTGCTGGAGGGGTCTTCCTCCAGGAAGCCAGGGCAGTCCAGTTGCCAAAGCCTCTGTTAATCACTGCAAAATGAAATGCAGAACTTGTGCTGAGGAACTGGAACATCACCCACTGAGCTTCTTTCAAAGGTGGGTCTGCCTAGGTGGGAACAGCGCTTTGTCCATGCTGAGCCAGGTTGGGACTCCTCGTATGACTCATCAGTCATAAGTCCCAAGGTATTCATTCCCCCAGTAGGGGCCCTTCTACTCCAGGGACATGCCCACATGCTGTTCTCAATATGAAACAAAAATGTAATGTTGTCATGATGTGCCAATTCATCCAACTCAAAATGCTCTGTGAAACGCTTAGCTGAATCACTCCTCCTCTTGGAGAGCTCTGTTTGCCTAGGGAGCTGCCAGGGAGAACCATCCTCCATGGGGCGCAGTTGGAGACAGCACTCCCAGGCTTACCATCCCAGGATTTAAGGCCTGGCAACTCCAGGGCAGCAAGCCCTGTACACAGAGGAAGGGCTCCATTGTTTCACAAGGGCCCACACAGTTAGCTTGAGAACACACAATATTTCAAAGACCCAGCTGGTTATTGATTTCCAGGTCAAGAGAAGAGAGGCCTCCAGCACAGAAGCCTGGGAGGACCTTCTTCAACTTAGGTCTCAAGTTCCCAAGCCTGCAGATGGAAGCCTTGAAGCCCTGATAACAGGAACATTATCAGAATTTCTACTCCTGCAGTTGAAGACCTGGGCAAGTTTCCAAGGCACTGGTAGGCTTGACAGTCCAGCAGTGCTCCGAGCACTGGTCTGAGCTTAGCCATGAGGTGCCAGGCTCCAAATTAATTTCTAACATTTCCAAAGCAAATGTCTAAGGGAATTCCAATACAAGGGAAATTTTAAAATGTCACAATTTCCCATGGATTAGGTAACGGCAAGTTTGGCCCACCTCTGGCTTCAGTTTCCTTCAGAAAAGTCTTCATCCTATGTGTTCCACTAGGAGAACAAGCCCTCATCTATTAAAATACATACACTAAAAAGAATAAATATGAACAAAACTTGCCTCTAAACAGAATCTTCAAAACATAGACCCGTCCCTCAGGTTATCATGAGATTTCTAGTTATTTTCACATTTATGTGCCTGCCTTGAACCTGAAGGCTTCTGTTCTAAAACATGCTTACTCATGCGGCCTCAACATTAATTAGTAGAATGGACACATTCTGTAAAGTTCAATCCATACAGGTACAAAACACAGGCCCCTACTTTAGTGAAGCAGTAAACACGTAACACACCAAGGAAACAGTGTCTGTAAAGCCTGAATGGCTGAGCACAGAGATGGCTAGTATCACAGCATTGCCTGGTACCAAAAGGCATCAAACACAAGGACAATCCTGTCCTGGTCACCTCCAGGTACCAGCAAGCACACACAGTGCAGCCACCTAAGATGAAGGGCAGTATGCCTGACCACAGGAAAACTGATGATTCCCAGGATATGACCTCTCAGTGGGTAATGCACCAAGGGAAGGACGATGAACTACATAAGCATGCATTAAGCAGATTAAAGATTTGTCCCATTTAATTTATTAAGCAATGTCATGAAGTTGTTGATAACTTCGCTCTGCTGTTTTAGAGTCCTAGGCACCAGTCCCAGCTCTGGTCTGCCAACTTGCCACAGAGTAATGAGATAAAGAACAGTCAGAATACAGGCTCCTGGTGGACAGTTTGCCCCACCTTCCCCTACACTGCAGGCATGGAAAAGTAACTTGGCTTTTAAAAACACAAAGAATCTACCATTTGAGTTACTACTTACTTTACCAAGGACACATTAAAAAATCCTGCACTAAACTTGGGAAACCTGTAAAAACTTTCCCAAACAGTGGAGTCTCATAATACTATTACAGCTCTCCATTTCCCACACACCTCAAATGCTGAATGTCCTATTCATTAAACAGCTATTTTTACTTTACTATAAATCATTGTTCTTTACTTTTACAACTTCCTTTTCTTGTAATTAAAAGGTGCCCAAAGCCTTTTCTGACTTTACAGTGTCTAGAAACTTCATGTAATTTAAAAGTACCACTCACATCCACTTATGCTTCAGATACATGTGCATCATTCCCTGTCACTCTACAGGGAAAGCTATAGCTCCAATGAATGACTTAGGACTCAATATTGCATATACTTCCAATGACTTCAAAGATGCAGAAGCAAACCTTAAAGGTAGCATGGTTTCTTGCCTGAAGAATTGGTTTTGCTTCTGCCTATATTCATGGACAAGTTAACCAGATGCCACAACGTCATCTCAGAGTTCTCCCTATTGCTAAAGGATTATCACTAAATTCTTGCTCCCTATTAACCATACACACAGCCCACTGCAATAGCAGGGGTACTGAGTCAAAGGACCCTTAGGGTTTTCCATCTTTTATTTTCTTCTGCTGCTTTCACAAAATACCCTCTAGCACAACATGTATTTTAGAAAAGAAAGCAGAACAACAGTAGTCGTTTCCCCTACGCACCAGATTCTATCTCAGGATCAAAAGTACAAATTAAGTATTATTATTAGCGGTTTCTTGATATGCATTATGACAAAGTACAAAACCTTCTCTTTCTTTCCGTCTTCCAAAACCAGGCCACAAGTTGATGCGAACAAAACTGATGCTGTGCACAACATTTTAGCTCCTGTACTCTTCGTCCTCTACAGTAGTAAACCTACAATTACCATGAGAAAAGTCCAGCTGGAGGTATCACCTACAAGTTGCTTCTTGCTTATACATTATTTCAGAACATATGCTCCGCTTGAAAACAATTCTGTGCCTACGAGCTGGCAGCAGAACAACAATTTAAGTTGAGGTCTCAAAAACGGTAGGAGGGGGAATTTGCAAAAGCAACATATTTCAGCTACTTTTTACCCCAAGAAGCATACCATAAACAGTCAGGCAAATATACATCAAGGATCATGAGAAAGCAACTAACTATATGCCTTTTAAAGTGCACTTCATGGACGAAAGCTGCCAAATTACAGACGGGATTTACTGAGAAGAATGTGTTACTGCCAGAACGGACAAAAGCACGCATTCTACCCATTCCAAGCTCCTCCCCATCTCCTGTCATGCTCACAGCAAGAAGCAGCTCAAAAATTGACAACCACAGACTCCAGGATTGAAAGAGACAAAAAAAACCACCAAAAAACCTGCTGGCAAATGCCGGGAAGAATTTTGTTTTGGAGATCTGATAGAGGAGACTGGAAAAAAAACCACCAAAAAAACCAAACCAAAACAAAAGGAAGCAGAAGAAAAGAACCCACTTATGATCCCCATGTTCTCGGGACATCAAGCAGTTTCACAGCAGGAAGGAAACAGCGCGCACCTGGCCGGGTTTGAGGAGTCAACGTGCAGCAGCGTCTTTCAAACAGGCACAGCAACCGGTACCCGGCACCACGCTGCTGCCGGCCCCAGGACAGGAGTTTCCCGGAGTTCGCGTGGAGCTGGGTCATGGAAACCTCACTCCAAGCGGGAGCACGCAGTGGCAAACCGTCCCCGTCCCCCAAGACTCCCTACCTGGTTGGTGTCCTCGCCGTGCTCCAGGTGCACGATGCCCTGGCTCCTGCACTCCGTGTCGCTCAGCACGTCGTCCTCGGAGTCCTCCAGGAGGGACGAGGAGCCGGTGGAGGACAGCGAGGAGGTGGAAAGCCGTCGGGACTGCAGGTGCAGCGAGCTGTCCGTCCTCAGCCAGCCGCCCTCCGTGTGCGGCGGCTGCGCTTGGGGGCTGCCCTGCGCCTCCTCGCTCTCCTCGGCGGTGACGGTGAGCCGCGGGATGACGGGCGGCAGCACCCCGTTGGGGGGCCGGCAGCCCCTCTTCGCCGGGTCGGGCAGCTGCCGGGCGGCGGCGGCGGCGACAGCGGCGCAGCGAGCCTCGAAGAGGGAGCGGAGCTCCCCGACGCTCAGCCGCTTGGACCGGCTGAGCTCCGGGCTGCTGTGCAACCCCGCGCGGGGCTGCATAGCGCGGTCGGCGCCGGGCGCCTGCGGGGCAGCGCCCCAGGGCCGGCGGCCGGGGGTGTGCATGGGGGAGCGCCGCGTTGCCGCCGACCGCCCGGGAAACTTCTTTGTGGCTCAGCCTCCGGCCGCTGCTCGCAGAACGGCGGCGAGGCTCATCTCCAGCCCGCCCTCCCTGGGCAGCCCCGACTCACCCGCGGCGACAGCCGAAGGCAGCTACCGTGCCCGCTGACCCGGCTCCAGGGCCATAGGGGCACGACCAACCCCCCGACACCTCCCCGCTCCGCCTCGGCGCCGAGGGGAGGAGCGAGCCGCGCCGCGGGGAGCCCCGTCCTGCCTGCCCGCCCCTTCCCCGCCTCCGCCCTTTTGGTTTCGCTTTGCCTGAGGTGCCGCCTCCCGCCTTACCTCAGCGCCCGCCGCCCCCGGCCGGGGGTCACAGCTCCCCCAGGGCGGGCATGGCGGCTGCGCAGCGCTCGCGGGCCGGAGGAGCCCATCCCCGCTGAGGGGGAAGAGGGGCGGGTTTGGGCGCCCTTCCGTCAGGCCCCTCAGGGCTCTGTGTGTGTGTGCGTCCCGCTTGTGGTGAGCCTGCGGGGCAGAGCGGCCTCCCGCAAAGCCCGGGGTTCCCTCAGCCCGCGCTCCGCCGCCTGAGCCGAGGGGGTCAGCGCGCCTGAAGCCCCAGGTTGCCGAGGTACCCGAGCTGAACGCATACCGGCAGAGAGCACCCCCACCGCGCGGTTACCCGCTCGGCTCCCGCTCCTCACCCGGAATACACCGCACGCAGGGCTGCACGTGTGGTCATTGTAGCCATTAAAACCAGTGGAATGTTAAAGGCATCCCACCGCGGGGTTACACCAGCTGAGATGCTTATTAAAGCTAACAATTCTGGAACCAAATGCCAAAGTGTTCAACTTAGTTTTTGCTCATTTATCTCATTGTTTCCTTGCGCTCTCCCATCTGTCTCTTGCCATCTGTTGTCTTTCTCCTGGTGCTCCGGCTGCGAGCTCCTTGCAGGAGGGGCTGCACTCACCCAGCGCGTAACGCAGCAATGCTCGGGCCGCACTGGGACTCCCTGGTCCTCTGACACCATAAACTATTGCTATTCATTCCGATTATTCGGAATTCTTCACTGTGAGAGTGCTAAGATAGTCATAGAGGGCTAAGAATTATTCGGCTGCTGCTGACTATTTTGCAGCCCCATCTTGCAAGTTGTCTTTGGAAAAGTCAGTTTGAACAGGCACCTGACGACGTGTCTTTTCCCGTGCCACTCACAGAGCCCCAGAGCAGGCAGGAAGGCAGCTTCAGAAATAAAACGTCATAAATAAAACTTCATAAATAAAAATCCAGACGTCTTTGTGCGCTTTTCTGGAATTAGGTGGTGCCAAGCCGGGAATTTGGGCCGTCTGAATTTCCAGATGAAATAGCCAAGGCTTTTGGTGGATTTAGTTCTTTAACCATTGTGGGGGTTGTCCCAAGGAGCTGCCAAGGGGTACGTGGTGGGATGACAGCTACCAGCAAAGTGTGTAAAAACACTAGTGGTAAAGTGCAGAAGAAAATGGTTGGCAGGAAAGCTTTTCCCCAACAGACAGAGAGAAGTGCCTGTAGGAGGGTATTCCTTCATGGTGGACCATAACGGGTTGAAGCTTTTTCTGGAAGAAGATAAAGAGTCACCACTTTGAGAATGAACTTTATAAATAGTTTCAAATTTTATAGTGCAGAAAGGCAGCCTCAAAACATGAAAACTGACTAGGCCCAATACATACCTAAAGTCATAAGAGTTTAATATACAGCATGACTTTATAATTGATGGTTTTATAAGAGGTCTCACGGCAGTGAACACATATTTAGAGTGGAAAACACGGAGGCCAGTTTTAAATGGCTATCCGAGATTACGCACACAGAGGTTGGACCCATTTAACTTACGTAGCTGTGGCAGCTTCCAGCTGTAGGTAAGCAAGGCAGAAAAGCATTTGCACACAGGAGAGAGGTTCAGTGGGATCTGTCACAGGCCAGACAGGAACCTCTTCCAAATGCCTGCTGCATGTGGAAGGACATTTCGGTTTCCAGCCTCTGTCAGCTGTTGCTTCTCTGCTGACTCTGCAGTTACAGGTTTATGTGTGGTCTGTGATTAGGAAGCCTTATTTAAAAGGTTTGCTGATTCAGGAAACCTTAACCTTAACAACAGGATCAACAATTCACTCCATATAGGGCTAAGATTAGTTAATAGTTAGGTCATAAAATATAATTTTAAAGGTTTTACTTTCAGTTAATGAGGATAGAAGCAAAATATATGCAAACATTTAATTTTAATTAATTAATGCATGTATAAAAATAGAAAAGTGTCCTTTTAATAATGCTGATAAATGGTGATTGGTGATTGAATCTTATCTGGTTGGATAAGATTAGATGGGTTTTATTGGCTGCTTTTATAGCTTGTCAGCTTTAGAGGGCTACTGATAGCTGAATTTTGTGTAAGATTTAGCTCAAAGTCTTTCAACACTACCAGGAGAATAAAGAGATTCTTCAGTCAGTTGGGTATCACCACGTTTGTGTGGAAGTGTACAACTGTTTTTAACAAGAGGAGTGGTGCTCTCGCTTCTGGCAAAGTGGCAATGACTCCTACTTTCCACTTGTGAAATCCTGCATTCCTGTCAGCAAAGGGCTGTCAGCATCCATTAATGATGTTTGGCAGGAGCTAGATCTGATAACAGATATGTGTGTCCCTGTTTTACAGCTAGGTAAACTGATGTACAGGCAGTACATGAGCTGACTACAGTCATATAGAGAATCAAGGGCAGAAACGGGTGCTTCAAATTTGCTCTGCTACTGTAACCACCAGATCACATTCCCACCTCTGGGGGTAAAGAGTTTTGTTTATCGCAGTCATTCTGATTCATATTGGTATTGCTTCTGGCTACTGGGGCTCCTTGTTTCACGCAATCCTGCTACAGAATGAACTTTTGGCCTTTATTTCTTCATTGGGGACTGTAGTGATAGGACATGGGGCAATGGGTTCAAACTGAAACAGGGGAGATTTAGGTTAGATATAAGGAAGAAATTCTTCACTGTGATAGTGCTGAGGCACTGGAACAGGCTGCTGAAGGAAACTGTGAATAGTCCATCCTTATCAGCATTCAAGGCCAGGCTGGATGGGGCTTTGAGCAGTGTAGTTTAGTGTGAGGTGTCCCTGCCCATGGCAGGGGGTTGGAACTAGATGATCTTTAAGGTCCTTTCCAACCTATGATTCTATGATTCCCATGATACCCCTTTATAAACACTGTTATCATTAATCTATTGCTTATTCTTACTTCCTTTTAGTTTGCGTTCTCGTAGAGTGCATGAGCCTCGACAGTACAGAGGTAAAGATGCTATGGGCACTTGCAAAAGATTAGAAAACTCTCACATAGACAGTGGTTTAAATATGATGCAGAGGGGAGTCTTGGGCTTACCTTGGCCTACTCGGTACATACAAAAAACTGCCCACATGAGACTTCTCAGAGGGCTCTGAGTGTGACAGCTGGGAAACACCATGTCCTTCGATTCCTACCTGAGCATGACCTGAAATGTCATCAAGAGCTGTGATTCCCATGTCTGTCCTGTATACAACAGATGAAAGCAAGACAACGTTTATAAGTATTTATCTCTTTCAGGATGCAATTGGGGGAGAAAAAAAAAAGATGGATACGTTTTCATTTAGGAAGGCCCTGTTTCAGAACTCAAAGGTACGTGGGCATGGAAACTGGTCGCTTCTACGGGAAGATCCCGCCTCTCCCACGGGCTTTTTCTTCGTGACTAAGGCTGAGGTTCCCTCCAGTGGCTGACGTGCAGATGACAGCTCCACGTGGAAAGCGAAAAAGACGGGCTGGCCTTCCGTCGGGAGCAGCGCTGCGAGCGACCATGGTCCCTGCCCGGAGGGGTGGGAGCTGAGCAGTTGCGGACTGGCCAGTCTGGTGTAGTTGGCAGCCTAGAGCGGCGGTGAGGGAGGGGATCCCGGCTTCAGTTGCTGTCTCTCTGCTACACACTCCATTGAGTGAGCAAGTCAGTGCGTGTTATAGTCCTCTACGAACATAGCCAGATTAAATTATCCAAGTACACATGCAAGAGAATGAGCCTTCGGCAACGGATTATCTGATGTGCAAGCACTTGCTTCAATAAATGGCAGGTTTTTATTTGTCAGATTAGTTTTTGTAGGCTATTTGTCACATTTCTCTGTGCAAGACTTGGAGTCTTTTTGGAAAGAACTCTAGACATCTGCTCAATGAATGCCATATGAAAAAAAAAGAATTAGGAATCTGCTTTTACCTAAGAAGCAGCAAAGCTGTAACTCAGGCAGCAAATGTTAAAATCATACTGTGGCTGGGTTATTAAGATGTGGGGGGACACAAGCAATGCTTCAGCTTCAGCTGAACAGCTTCAGCTGTCCCCTACCCTGGATCTCTGGCCCAGAATCTGGATTGGCACATGCAGAAATTACTTCTTCCATTCCTCAGCCCTGCTGTCAGCTTAGCTGCTAGTACCCCATGGTATCACCCCTAAGCAACACAGAGGCTATGGAACATTGGTGACATGGAAAGGGAAATCCAAAGCTGCTGGGCAAACACAGGAAAGATGGTGTTGGATTTAAGCAGTGGAATAAAGTTGGATGTAGATTCCAAGGATATGACAACTGATTTAGCAGGGGATACTGGGATTTGAGCACATCCTCAGCTAGGACGGAGATGTAGTACATTGGTGGAAGTGCACAAGGCTGTATAGATCTCGATGTGCGGATCACAGGAACCTGCAGAAAAGAGACAATGAACTGTGAAGGTCCCCTCGTGGCTGGAATTAAAATTACGTTTCCAAGTCAAACGCCTGAACAAAAGTACCTCGAACTGTTCCTCTACCTTACATAGGCAGATGCAAGATGGGGGGGTTAGTGGGGAAGGAAACATGTCCCCTTGGAAAAGGGGTTGCAAGTGTTTGAGATCATAAAATGACAGCCATGACAGTGAGAAAATACACAAGGATAAGGCCAGCGGGAAGGAAGGAGTGTTCCCAGCACCCTGCTGCCTAAATGACTCACAGTGGACTGCTGACATATAGAGTGTAGAGTTACTCTAAAGGGAAAGGTAGAGAAGTAAGAGCTACACAGGAGGTGAAGAGAGGGAAGGTTGCAACAGTGTGGAAAACACCTGGAAGAAAAAACACTTTCTCCCACATCTTCCCCATCTCATGCTGCAGACAGTTGCTGCTCTTCCTTATGAAAGGAACAGAAAACGGCCTTTTCTTCCCACTTTCCTCTCAGCTTGTCACTGCTACTTTTCTCCCTCACACTCTTACTGCTGGCCTGGAGGCCAGTATATCCAGGGAACAGAA